AGAGAGAGAGATACGGGAGGAGGGATTTACGAATTAGGGATTTACAAATTAGGGATTTTATGTGGGGTGGGGTGATATAAATTAATTTTTATAATAATATTATTAATATTTAATTAAACTTAAAAAAACATGTATGTATATATTAAATATCTGATTTTTGAATATTAAAAGTTGAAATCTAAATTTTGAATTTATATCTTGAAAAGTAGGGTTAGCTGTAATTTCCACTTGAATTAATCTTATTGGACGGCTAGTTATTTATATATTTTTGAATTGGGCTACGTTAATTTGTAAAAGTTATGAATGAAATGTCATTAATTGTATTTATGTAGTGTTGTGGAAAATATTAAAAAATTTAATTATGGTACGGAACCGAATTGAACCGAACTCGAACGGTTCCATAATTATATTTGGACCTGACGAGTCCATTTATTAAATACCCGAAAATTTTAGGTCTATTCGAATCTGTTCAGAACCGAATCGAACCGACCTATAGACCCCTGCCCAAAATTTCAAATAAGCGGATCTTGCAAATGTTTGCCACCTATTCTCCTCATAACCCTAGAACCCACCGCCAATTTCCAATTGAAATTCATCCTCTCATAGACTAATAGCAATAGTTTAATCACAACGACAATGGCTGGAATATTGAAGCCACCGGGGAATTTTGCTTTAACTCCCCACAAGGTTTCCATATGCATTTTAGTACAAGTCTACGCACCGCCTTCTGAAATATCCGTTCCCTTCCCCTTCTCCTCCGTTTCTCATCATAACTCTCTCGGGATTTTCCTCCTATCCCTTACCAAGGTAGCAATGAATGGCCTTGTATACTTATTTTTGTTTTGTTATAATAATCGGGTGAGTAAAGAGTTTCACACTTTTTGATTTTGCAGGCATGTGACAGTATATTTGAGCCGTCATTGGATGAATTAATAGCTCAATTAAGAGAAATTGGTGGGTTATTGAATCATTGGTTGAGTGATCATTTGACTAGTAGACTCTCGTCTTTGGCTTCACCTGATGACTTGTTTAACTTCTTTAATGACTTGCGAGGTGATGTTTTGGTCTTTTAGTTGTTGTTTTAAAGGAATTAGGATAATACAAATAATTGATGGTGTAGCAAGGTGCAAATCTCTTTTTTTACTCCCAGCAGTTGAAGCTGATATTGTACATGACACAGAACTGAAGCACATTGTACAATATTGGGTACTGGGTTGTACCTTGTTCTGACATTATCATCGAAGTGTCACACTTGATAATTGCTAAATAGATTGTATTTTATTTAAGTAGGGATACTTGGGGGCTCTGATGCAAATGTTGTTGATGACGATCAGATTGTGTTGGATCCCAGTAGTGCTCTTGGAATGTTCGTTAGGCGTTGCTTACTTGCCTTCAATGTTATATCATTTGAGGTATTGAATTTATAATTTATAGGCCATTTATATCATTTTGAAGGCTGCTACTTAAATTATTGTTTAACATCTTTTGATATGCATGTCCGATATCACTAAATTTCAAAGGCAATTTGGATTCTTACACTTACCAATATCATATCTACTATATTAGTGATTGTTACTGGTCATAAAACTTACCAACTAAAGGGGTGAATGCAATGGCTACTAAAGAAAAAAGTTACGAAAGCAAAAAGAACATTGCCATATAAAAGCTGGAAGTATTTTGAAAATTTTTAGTGGTTGCATAAGTGTAACCTGAACTTATTTGGGAGCCTCTTGGTAGTACTCTATCTTGATAATCCCTGAAAGTGCATGTTATGCTAAAACAAATCTTTTTCTCATTCTTAATGCTATTGATTGGGATGTATTATGGAGCGAGAAACATGTTTATGGTGCATCATAACATGCTCAATTAATGCAAGACAGCTTTCAGTTTCCAAGAAAGAGGGACATTTCAGTCATTGGTAATTTAAGTTGTTATAATGACAATCAACACAATGATTTATATGTAAAAACGCACACTTGCTATGTTTTATCTTCAATGCATATTACAGCTCTCAGGGACATACTGATTTCATACGTCCATGAGCTTATTTTGGTGTATACTATTACCTGGACGGTGTAGCTAATTCAGTGGTTTAATCAGCTTAGGATTATCAGAATTTTTTTTAATGGGTCTCACTTAACAATTATATATTTTCTGGGCAGGGTGTTTGTCATCTTTTGTCAAATATAGGGACATATTGTAAGGAATCCCTGTCAGATTGTCCTCCTTTCGAGTTGTCACATTTAGATGATTCTAGTAATGATCCAGAATTAGAATACGAGAGTATGGAGTTGGAGAATTTTGTTTTCGAGAAAGTTAGTGAAGAATTTGAAGCCAGAAAATTGGCAAATGAAAGAGTTTCTTTCCACAGTCATGCGCCTGGAGCCCTTTTTGAGTTAGTTGAAGGTATTGCCTTGAATATCACTGCTTATTGATTATCGTCTTTGCATCTACACGTCATAAGTTCTTTATGAATTGCTTTTGCTTGAAACAAGATTCAATTTAAACAGTAATTATCGATATTTGGGTTTTGATTTCTCAATATCCATGGTCAAAAACTTTTCATCCTTGGAATGACAGAATATATTGTTGAGAGTTGTATAATATTATAACCTGTCTTTTTTCTGCTTCTTGTCAAGTATTATTTCACCATATGGTATTCCATCCTGCAATTGTACGGGATGTTTTGGTAGATTCTCTTCTTTTTCTTTCAGTTTTTTTAATTTGCCTGCATAATGTATACATAGAAATTGGAGGACTTGGCCTTTGTATTGAGGTTGTAGTGATACTTTGTTTTCACAAAGCTGATATTGCATTTATTGGAAGGTCTTTGGTTCGTTTATTGTTTTTCATGTATATTTTTGTCTCTTTCATCTTATTTCTCGGTTTGTGAGGAAGAGAGAAAGGAAATAGTGGTAGCTGGTACCCTATAAATATACTGCATTCAATACTAAGTGGTGATTTTCCTCTATGCCCCCAAATGGATGGGACAGATAATCAGGAATGAGGTCCTTTAACATGCACTGCATGGTGCGGGCATCTTTTGATGGTCCTATGATGTGTCCATGTTACTTTTCAATCTATTGATGTTTGGAAGCCAGTTTGCTAGTATAAGTATCTGAGCCTCAAATTTTGTTTGCATTACTGTTTCCTATTCCCTTTGTTTGAGCACTGCTTCTTTAGAGATGATTTTAATTTCAATGAATGCAGATACTGATTTTGCTCCAAGCTCCAGTGGGGAACATATTGATAGGCCTCGAGAAGTTAGCCCATGTGCACCGTCAACCAGTGATACATTAAGAGGTACTGACCGCCCGGGTGGCACTTTCCTACGTACAAACTGGCAGGTTCAGGGCTACCTTTCGGAGCAAGCAGATGCCATAGAGAAGTGAGTGAATTTTGATCCATTTTATTAGTGCTTGCTTGCTTGAGCTTATAAGTGCTTTCAAGCAGTGGCTCCCTGGGAACGTGTGATAAAAAAGTACGTAAAAGTTGTGCATGCTATGAAACATGTTGCTAAAAATAGAGTTTGACCAAATTATAAGCAATTATGAGCTTTTCCAAACATGCACTAAATTGTATCTTGTCTATATTCACGTAATAATTATATTTCAGAAGTATTTCATGCAAATATTTCTATTTCCATTATCTTGTTTCAGACATGGGAGCTCCTTCCCTCTGCATGCTTTTGAATCTATACTAAAAATGCTTCAGAAATCAGCTCCAGAATTACATCGAGTGAGTTGCTAATGTCGATATTTATTTTCCACTGCTGTCTATTTTAGAAGGGAATTTCTTTACCTGACTTGGAGATGCATCTTTTCTCCTGATTCAAATTGCAGGTTCACTTCTTGCGTTATTTAAATAGTCTTCATCATGATGATTACCCTGGTGCATTGGAGAATCTTCATCGTTATTTTGATTACAGGTATAAATTATTCAGTTTATTTTATTTGATGCCCTGAGCGTATTTTCACTTGGTTAAATGTATTGCATCAGGGCGTGTTTGGCTTGGGTGTAACAGAAAAGAAGAGGAGACAAACTAAAAAAGATGCTCAACTAACTGAAAAGGGACAAATGGAGGAATGTAGATTTTTTTCACTTATTTATTTTATGATAAATTATAGAGAAAAATTGAAGAGGACTATCTAGAAAGAAAAACATATTATCCTCTCTCATTGACTTGTCTTATTCCCTGGAAATAAATAAAAGTAAAACTAAAATTTTTGGGTCCCTAGAGGAAACTTTATTAATTTTTTTTTCTTCTTTTATTTCATTGTGCTCTCCATTCAAAGCACAGTATCAATGTTTCACAAACCATGTTTGGTCCCCATTATTTTCTAAATACATTTTTCTCTCTCTTATTTTCAACCACTCATTCTTCAATAAAATAATATTACACGCAAATCCACAACCTTTCCTTATTTTTTAACCACACATTCTCCGTCAAAGTACTTTTCCAAAATGCATTTTGGGCAAAAAATGGGGCTCAATTAGGCTCTTAATTTCTTCTCTAAATAGATATTACACTCTTGACAATGTGGCCTTTTTGCCTTTCTACTTGTTGATTTTCGGCAGTTTTGTACAGAGGAAGATCATGAAATCCAAAAATCTAATAGCAACTAGATATCTCCCTCTCTGTTACTGGGCATTTCTTCAGTGTGTCGAGCCTTATTGCATTTTGAGCCACATTAACACTTCCCATGAAACTAGGTGTTTTGTTCCCAGCATGGGCTAAGATGGGGTGCGGACTACTGATAAAGGTGGACAGTTGGCTGTGAGAACTGTAATACTATGGAATTGTCAGGAGTACATTTCTCTATTAATATAAGTTCCTAACATAACCTTTTTGAGGCTCATTTTTGATTTCTAATTCAGATTTTTAATTTATTTCCTTGATTTTGTGCTGCATTAGATAGAGGCATGGTATTTTCATTTCACTTTGGATATATCTGTCTGATCCGAATAGAATAAGCTTATGATGAATACTCCACCTCTAATTAACTTGGTCGATCTGAATGTGATGAGTATACTGTGAACACACTAACGATAAATCTATCATGCACATTGAGGATTTCGGAATTTGAGAACTAATTGGAGATGTTCAAAAAATTCTTAAAAAACTCCTCTTATAACAGATTTTGTCAACAAACTTAAGATTAGCAGGGAAGAAATCAACAATAAAATCATGAATTTTATTTTCAATATAATGAAGTGAATATGGAATATGTAATAAAATGTCATGGTATCTAATGAAAATATATAGAACTTATGATCTTGTATATAAAGCTAAAATGACTATACAAAAATTTGGTCAAGATATCTGCCTCAAGTACACTTCAAGTTCAAATAAATCAGGGAATAATTTATTCTCCAGTATTGAATTCATAAGTTTGATATAAGTGACTCCCCTAGATCTCATTTTTATTTGCTTTTGAGAATGCAGCTCTAAAATCCTTTTTTGTGCATTATTGAATTTGAGTGAATCTATAAAGCTGGTTAGTTATTTTTTAAGCTTAGGAAATGATAACCATTTTGTGCAAAGCTTGAGGATTGTGTATTATATCCACGTTCAATAAGCAAGGATCATTAACTTATAACCCAAGAGAATGTTCACTACAATGTTTCCCCCCTGAAATTACTTTTAGTTCTTTGTTTCATATTGGTCGGTCCTTAACCTTGACAAGTGGTATTTTTTCCTCTTTTGAAATATATTTCTTTTCCTCTCTAGTCTGAGGGATTTCTTATTCTCAGTAGATTTCACCTGTTAAATTGCTAATTGGCTTCTGATGGCAGTTCCTTGTAAATACTTCTTTCATCGATTCTTGTTTCTATCATTTACATTTAAACTTCTCCTGATATGCTACTCCATTTCAACCTTTTTTGAGTTCCTCTATCAACTCTCTTTGCCATTGATCTAATATGAGTAGTGTATGTAATAAAGTGCAGGGACTGAGGGTGTTGAATTTGTTCTTGCTCCATCTGGCTGCAGTGGTTTGGGAAGATATGAAATTGCTTTGTTATGTTTAGGAATGATGCATTTTCATTTAGGGCACCCAAAGCAATCTTTGGAGGTAAGCATATGCAGTGATGGTGCCTCATATCTGTTTGTTCATCTTTCTCGTTCCTAGGATTACTTTCAGCTGCTTTCTTATTTAACATATCTTTCAATTTATTGGTAATTGGAAATTTTGGGGAAGGCGGTGGTTTTTTGGTGCCTTGTTGGCAGTTGTTTGCTTATGATCCATCTTTGTGGCAGTCACAGCCTCACAAGTGTCTCTCTCTCTCTCTCTCTCTTTTTTTTTCAGGTTTTAATTGAAGCAGTTCAAGTTTCCCAGCAGGTGTACATTTAATTGTATATTTACTTTTTAACCAATATACCATTTTGTCATTTCTTTAGTGAGCTAAACTAAATTGATGCATTTGATAATATCTGAATATATTTCTGTTATCTTGCCAATTGCATATTGATTATTAATTATTAAGTCAAAATGAAATGCAAATCATATCAATGCCATGTTGGCTATTTTGTTGAATAAGGTATGTGTTACAGTTACCTTTCAGCTGGCACTATCACCAAAAGTACTGGAGACTTGGTGGAGTTCTCTTAAGAAGGTTCTTTAGGCTGAGTTAGTCAGTGCAGGCAGGCCTTAAGAAATTTCTTTTGTCAGGGTTATTGGACCATGCTCATCACTTTGCTTGGGACTTTTGATTTAATGCTTTCAGGAAATCAGATTTCTGAAACCGAATAATTTTATTATGTGCTTTAGCCCACATTACTCGAGTGTGAGGGAAAATTGACGTGAGCTGCTTTAGGGGTTCTACTTTCACAAGTTATGTTCTGTTGATTTCACTTGCACTTTTAAATGATAGAGCTTGTAAGTTTTATTCCTCTTTTGAAAAAGCTTTGTTGACTCTGGCTTATTCTCCCCAAGTTTTGTGCCATTTTCAATTCCCTACTAAAAGCCACAAATCAATCAATTCTTTCTCATATGTGTCTTGCTTTTTGTTATTGATAAATTTTGATAGATTATAATCTAGCCACCATAATGGCTATGCCAATGGTGGGTCTTACGAAATGTGTGGTTAAAATTAGAGTTTGACTTTGACCTTAATTTTATAAGGAGATTATAATGAAAGGCAAACAAGCTATTCGCGTCTTCATTATTCACCTCTAGTCAAAGTAGCACATTTTAGCCGCCATTACTATCAAAGCTATTGGACATCAATGGTATTGGACTTATGAGTATTTAGACTATAACAGATGTTTTTTTTGTTTTTCTGTAAACACTAATATCTCAAAATTCAGCACAGCGATGATACATGTCTTGCCTACACACTGGCTGCCATTTGTAATCTCTTGTCTGCTATTGGCTTCTCAAATATGACTGGAATTATTGGAGCTTCATATTGGCCAGTTGCTGGTATAGGCACTTCATCGTCCATTCAACAACAATTGTTTGTACTCTTGAGGAGATCCTTAAAGAGAGCAGAAAGTTTAAAGCTGAAACGATTGGTGGCATCCATTCATCTTGAAATTGCTAAATTTGATTTGACGGTTAGTAATTTTTCCTCATTTTGTTAGTAGACTGTATAACACTAATGTGTTATTTTGGCCTAATACTTAGTTGATTTGGAAAAAATTGATTCATCAAAATGTTCTGGAGAAATGAAATAATGTCTGTCCAAAGGAAGCGCATGGTATATGTATTTTGTTATGCATATCTATTTTTATGGATTTACTTAATTTATGACATTTGGTTGGAAAGTAGATGGATTTAATTGATGGAAATATAATTGAGACTGAATCACGCACCTTATTATAAATTATGAGAAGCAAAACTATGGAACTTGTAAATGAATTTGTTGGTTTTTCTTATCAAAAAAAAAAAATTTGTTGGTTTCTGTAATTATTTGGTACTTGGCACTTGAAAGAATGAATTTTAATGATGTTAGGGTCGCATGAGTTTGATTTATTTATACACGCACACGCACACAGTTTTTGCTATTCCTTGAATGCTTGTAATCTCCTTAAAGTTTTGTATGTGTTGTCAACACTTATGTTCTTGCGCAAGTATGATCAAATTTGATCTCCTGTATTCTGAATTTAATGTTTTTAATGGTTTCATGGATTTGTGAAGCTTAATGTAGTGGAAAATAGCACAGAATATGGTATGGTGCTGTACATATTGTACCCATTACATAAAAGTTATATTGAATTTGGTTGGTACTTGGTTAGAACAGATTTGATAAACTGCATGAAAAGGTTAATGTGGTTCAATGTTGCTCCCAGAAAATAAGTATTAGTTGGCAAAGGAGGACTTAAAGTGAAAGTAAGATTAAAACCTAGTACTCTAATATGGCATTTTATTTCTGGAGGAGATATGGTTGGATACTTCGGGAAAATTATCGGAGGGTTCGCTTCACATCTGATTAGTGATAGTTGATCACGGATGCTAGCTTGTATCAGTTGTAGGCTACTGATGTCTGCTACTTGTTGATGATGTTACTGTATATCTCGTGTTGAAGTCCAGATAGGATAATTATTTGGGTTCATGCAGTGCTAAATGCACTATATAGGGTCATGGAGTGGTAAATGCTGTTTTTGGGTTCTCTGTCCTTCTATTTCTTATATTCTTTGTTATGTCATGAATTAAAACTAAAATTGTTCTATTTTGGTTTGCAGCATGTCCAAAGACCATTGCTCTCTTTTGGTCCAAAGGCTTCCACGAAGCTTAGAACACGCCCAGCCAATATCTGCAAGGTTATATCAGTTCATGGATTTATACTTTTAGTTCTTTTAACAGCAAGTTTTATTGAATATGACTGTTGAGAATACATATTTATTGAATATGACTGTTGAGAATACATTCTTTCTTTTATTGTCATAATGATTGTGGCAGGAACTATGGACCAGTTATCATTTGATTAGCGAATTTACAGATGAAAATGCTATAATGGCAGTTGATGGTGCCTTCTGCACTTCATGGCTGCAAAATTTGAAAAAACCTACAGGTTTATTGGTTTTCTCTCAAGAAAATGGAACCAGGGGTGATTCAGACAGTTTCAAATTTAGTGCGCAGCCAAGTTCTATACCAGGGTCGGTGTTACACTTATTGGGTTCTTCCTACTTGGTTCGTGCTGCTGCATGGGAGGCATATGGAAGGTGATCTGTAACAGTCGCATATGTCATGCTTGACCCTAGAAGCCACTTATTTAGATGTCCTGCCATGTTTTCTTGAAAACTTCCATGCTAATGCAGTAGTGAACTGTCATTTTTATGCATATGCTTGTGAATATCTGGCCATAGTTTTTTTTAAAATGACCGTAGCATTACTGTTAGTTTTCATTACTCACATTCTGTTAAGAAAAAACTTTTGAGAAGTACTACAGCAGGCAATGACAACTCAGCTAATTGTGGCCTTTTGGCAATTATATGGCTTGTGTCCCATTAAGTGGATCTAATTTAGTAAAAATGAAGGCATCTAAATTGGTGCTTTATACTCTTCGCAGTTTATTAAACTCTATTTTCGGATAAAATAAAAAGTATATGCATACCTTAGATGCTTAGATGCATTTTCAGTTTAGGCGACATGAAGATTCTACTCATCACTGATATCTTTCAGTTGACATGAGCGTGCTCGCACACACACTCCTCCTCTTCTGCACTGATATTAAATTGTTCGAAGTGAAACTATTTAACACGCACACACACACTCCTTCTCTTCTGCACTGATATTAACTTGTTTGAAGTGAAACTATTGAACTACAAGAAAGAAAATACAACTTCTTGATTTTCCTGAAGTGGAACATTCCGAATGTCTTACATTATAGTTGTGTGGAAAGATAGTGTAGCATCCTGGATGTGTTTAAAACTGTCAGTTACTTCATCACCACCATCCCAACAAAGACATTTTAAGATTTTTTTCGAAGTACATTAAGGACACTCTGTGATTTCTTATTCTGTGCTGCCTGTCCTGTGGAATCAATTGACATTTCTCTTATTTTGAGGGTATCAGACCTCTCAATAGGGTCATGCAGTAGAAAACCTGATTGGTTCTGACCCTGCTTTCCTAAGTTCTGACATAAGTTCCAGTTAGATCCTTTCCTTCAGAGAAAACTGATGTTGCAAGATTTCTCATCCCCTAGAACAATATAATGTTATGGTATAAACTAGTTCTTTTACTTATCGCTCTATTTGGCTTATTCCATCTACGGTAAGCAATAGAAGACAACCCAAGTGAAAATTTGTTTGAGTTATTTGGCTTGATCAGTCATCTGACATTTCTTCTGTCTCTCTCTCTCTCTCTCTCTGTGGTTATTTAGTTATCCAACATTCTCAAATTGTTTATTCTAAATCTAGTTGCCTTAGTTAATGGTTTTTCTCATTTGCTTCATCTTTCCTGTTCAGTGCTCCTCTAGTTCGAATAAATGCACTGGTATTTGCTACATGCTTTACCGATTCATCGAGGTAATTCCCATGCATTAATTTGCTGGTCCTGCTGCATAATTAATCTTTCCCTCTTGGGTACCATTCTTCCACATTTAAAATTAACTTATTACAAACTAACTTTGTGTAATTTTTTCAGTTCAGCTGATGCTGCATTAGCATATGCAAAACTCATCCAGCATTTGGCAGTATTCAAGGGATACAAAGGTTGGACCAACGACCAAATGCTTCAAAACAGATTTACTATTCTCCAGGCAGTAGTGTTTCTGTTTTGAACATGTCTTTTTTCCTTATCCTGATTAGGGTGGTGCCATGTTATGTTGTGGTGGAATTACTGTATTTGTTGTGTATTATCTATTACTGCGTATATCTAAGTTCACTAACTTACTGTCATTCACACTGATCTTATGTTGATTTCACTAAATTTTAGATTTTCTCCAAGTTTATTGAGAGAAGCTATTTTGGTTGTTCAAGTCTATTCTTCCATTAGAGTAATTTTACTTCAGTTTTTATTTTCTGAATCAGTTTTTGCATTTTGGCTGGAGTTTCTTTACTGAAGGGAAAGGAGAATTTCTTTTTGCTGAATTTATGACCACCATGAAAAGAAGAATTCAGAAACAATCTAAATGCAGAAAAAAGAATTAAGTAAACGAGAAATGATACTACTCCGTTGACCTTTTTATGCTCCTTAAATTTGTAGCTAATTAAGTCAATCCTAAAAGATAGCAAGTTCTTAGGTTTAATAATATCTTTAAATTGGACCACTTTATGTGATGGGATCCTCGTTGCTCTGTAACTTTTGAACTTGTAATGCTGGAGAAACTGGAAAACAAACCAAGGTCCTTCATGTATTTCTTCTCTCTTTTTTTGGGACACATCACTGTTTCAATAGTTAGAACTTCTAAGATACAGTGAGATTATTATTTAAAAATACATGGAAAAAATATATCGACTTAACAATGAAAAAATTACGCTCTCTGTGCTTTCTTTTCATTTACCAGTTGATGCGTGCTGACTAGATCTCATATTTAAGATTTTAGTTCCTTTCCTTATTTTCACTTGTTTCAAATTCTCAGATGCATTTGCTGCCCTTAAAATAGCAGAGGAGAAGTTTTTGTGCGTTTCAAAGTCCATAATCCTGCTTGTGAAACTGCAGTTGCTGCATGAGCGTGCTTTACATAGGTATTTTATGTTCTACGGCACTTATTGTCTAGTGAATAGCATTAAGATATAATCATTGTTTGTCATTTCTTTGGTTCCTGCATAATGGATGCCAAGTATCTTGCAGGGGACACTTGAAACTTGCTCAACAATTATGCGATGAACTTGGGGTTTTAGCATCTCCTGTAACTGGTGTGGACATGGAGCTAAAGACAGAAGCAAGTCTCCGTCATGCTCGAACATTGCTTGCTGCAAATCAGTATGACCAGGTCTAGCATTTTTAACATTCCAGACTTCTTTGATTTCACTTAGAAAAGGTTAAGAATCCAGAACATGTTTGTTCGAACCAAAGATTGTTTAAGATGGTGCTGTATGCTATGCCGCACATTTGATGTCATTTTGAAATCTTCTCTGTTTAACCAAAGACACAAAAAGTGACACCGAGGCATAATTAGTGAGGCATCAGAATATATCTTCTTAATGGGATTAAGGTGATTTAATATACATTTATTTTATTTTGGGAATAGGAATTTTATTTCTTGCTCACCAACGGGGTTCAACCCTGTGACAAGAACAATTAAGCAGCTATAGGTACTATATTGGAATCGAGAAAAGAAAAAGAGAGATCTGAGTATCTCTCATATATCGAAAACAAGAGGATCTTAAAAAAATATGAGTTAATCTTAGGAAGTGTCTTCTGTGTATTTTCAAATTATTATTTTTTCCTCCTCTCCTTATCCAAGCTATATTGTGAGTGTTTGATTTCTGCCATCTATATGGACTTTAACTCTGTAAATGTTCCTTTACTGTACAAAGCATGGTCCATGACAAGCTATTCACATCCACAGAGACCATAAGAAGTTGGTTTTTCTGCAATGAAGTGGTGGATAATGGGTAGCATTCTCGTCTTTTTTGCTAAGTGAACAACAATTCACTTGTCTTCTGTCTCTTCCTCAGATAATCCAGTCAGTATAATCTCCATGGTTGTTTCCTGGCCACCGAAAGCAATACTGTTTGGGACTTTTTTCCAAAATTAGTTACACGGGAAATTATGTTTTATCAAATCTTTAAGAATGTAATAACATTGTTTAACAGGTATTTTTCCATTTATTGATCTGCTTATTTTATCCGCATTCACCCAAGTTGAACTCATAATTCAAATACAACGTATCTGGTATATCTTAAACCTCCAGTCTTCTTCCTTTTAAAAGTCAGGTTTCCAAACCGCTACACTATCACTTCTTTCAATGGAATAACTTAGCAGTGCTCCATGATTAGTGTTAATTATACTCAAGAGCTGGGAAACTTGTTGGAGTGCTTTTCACCAGACCGCCCATTCAAAGAGTTAGTATAGAGTTGCTAGTTACCACTTATTGCTTTTGATATTAAAGTCATGGCTGTCCTATTAACATGTTACTTTAAATTGGTAGCTTATGCCGCAGGATATAGGCATCTTGCTAAAATTTTGAGTTATGGCTGCAATATCTACTAAACATGTATCTTTGAGTTTGTTTTAGAAATGACTTGCAGCCTCAACAGTCTTGAGGGTAGAACCTTGCCCAGCGATATCGAAAATTTTGTTAACATTCATTCCACACTCTACATTCTTTGATACGCGTAAGTATTGCCCGTAGCAATCATTCTATCACCAGTGTGAGTGATTACACCCGACTGCAAGCTGGCAACTTAGAGATTTGTGAAGTCATTCAGTTAATAAAAACAAAATGGGATTAATCTAATATTATCTTCATATATCTATTGTTCTGTAGAAGGATGTGGAATAAGTTATATACCAGTACCTTTTAGGAAGGAAACTATCTAACAAGTCGATTGTCCCTGGATTCTTATTGTTTTATGATGTGCATGGTTTAGATGGAAAAGAAAGTAGATGAAGAGAATTTATTAAAAGGATATTAAGGGAGGAATGAGGAGAGTGTAATATTACTTTCTTTTGTTTACTGGCCTAAAGAATGTAGAGGGTAGACGACTTTTTGTGTGCCCAAAAGGATTTTTGGTGGGAAATAGCCTTCTCAAAATTTTGATTAGTGTTTCTCTAATTTTTTTGAGTAAGATGAATGTGAGTCAGATGCAAAATTGTTTTTATCGATTTCTTTTTCCTTTCTTTGATCATATGAGCACCACATGATATTGGAGACTATTTATGCACTTTCATTTTTTTTTTCTCACTTCCTCTGAGCACTGACATGGAGCTATCTCCTGTGCAGTCCTCTTTCCTTTCTGCACAGTGACCCATCTTTATTTTCTTTGAAAGTTGGTGAACTATGCCCTTTTTATATACTTGCACGCCAGACATGCCATGTTCGTTGAAATGATCTTTTCTAATAAAATGTCGTAACAATGGAATAGGAAGAGACATAGGATCCCGAACCTTCTCATAACTTCCTCTTCTTCTATAGTCCTTTCCAGCAAATCGACCGAACATCTCTCAACCAGGCACTAGTTAATGCCATCTAGTCCCCAACATGAACCAACCTGAGATGTATAGGTTTTTGAAGAAGTCCACCATCCTTTTCAAACAACCCCTCTTCACCTACCAATCTTCCTCCTTTTCTAGCTATCTTATGCAATTTTTATCCTTCTATTGCTCACCACATTGAAACAACCTCGAATTGGGCCACCTTCTTTGATTCATTTGATTTTCTCCGTTCACCTCAAAGACATTCTATATCTCTCGCTAGAACATCTTCAAATTTGAATTTCAAACAGCATCTTTCTTCTATAAAAGCTTGACTAATATCACTTCATGTTTCATCTTTGTCCAACTCCCCCATCCTTCTAACGATCACTGATTCTTCAATCGCTAATCGCTGAAAGCTTCTTGCATCCAACTCTTCAGTTTTTTCTTCCAGTACCTCGAGCTTCTGCATGAATTTATACTCCTCCCAACCACGAAGACTTCCCCGCAACCATAATGATTTATTTGCAATACTAAATAGCTCATGGTCGAGCAACATCTTATTTTTCTAAAACTAACGCACCAAATCCTGTTAGGATGCATCTGGAAAAAGACCACTCCACTTGGTAGCAAATAAAAATCTGTCCATCCAAGAATAAATCTTCTTCCCTGAAAGTTTGACCATGTGAAGTCTTCATTCTTCAGCAGTGGACTCATCAATTCTGATTCTGTTAAATGCATCAAAATTCCGTATGATTGAGACCGACTCCAATGTTGAATTATTCATTGACAACAGCACTGAGGATGACCAAGTCATGGATAGATCTGTGCTGTTCCAATTTTCTGCTTCCTTTTTCATGATTTTTTTGTTCTTACTGATGCAAGTTGTTCTTGCAGGCTGCAGCTATAGCCCACTCCCTCTTCTGCATGTGTTATAAGTTTAATATGCAGGTCCAAAATGCTACCGTTCTTCTCTTGCTTGCTGAGATACACAAGGTATGTAGTTTTTGATTCCCTAGACCAACTAAACTTGTCGGTATACCTCCAATACAATAACATCTTTAATTGCAGGTGGAATGTACTGTTTGTTGTTAGAGTAAAAGAACAAGAAGGCTTAACAATAGTGCTAGCCTATCTCACTATTTATAATAAGAGTTAGGAAAACCTTAGGAAACCCTAGGTATTACATAAAAGACCTAAATAC